GCACACACACAGATCATCACACACACAGACCATCACACACCACAGACCATCACACACACAGACCTGCACACACCACAGGTGGCTTCATACACAGCCACGTACCAAACTACAGATCCAATGGGTTGTTCTCCAGTCTCTACTTGGGCACTGCCGGCCATGGCACATTGGTGACCCCCTCGGAGATTCCCATCCTCCACACTGGAGATGGGGCTGGATCCCCAGCCAAGATTTGTCATGGGTAACGGGTGTGTCTGTGGAGCCTGTGTGTTGCTATGAATCTGATCGGGATTATCAGGCCTTCTGGACTAAGACAGACTAGGAAGAAAGGCTGGCTGTTGAGTTCCAAAGATCAGCCATGAGAACCAAGTCGGAAAGTCCGTGTGGCCCCACCGCGAGTCAGGCAGCCACAGCACCCGCATGCCCAGCCCTGAAAGCCCTCAGCAGCACCTGTGCTCTCCACCCCATCCCCGGGGCCAGAATCACGTCACCAGCGCCACCCCCACCACCAGCCTACACCAGTCATTCAGTCCTAACTCCCAGGAGCCCACAGGTGTCCAAGAACCTGACTGTTCAGAACAGAGCAGACTGCTTAACACCACGTGCCACCAGGGACCACTCTATAGAGCCCAGACACCCTGGTCTGGGGTGCTCACGGAACACAAGGGGGCCACTCCGGTTCCTCTCAGGGCTGGGGAACTTATGAACACATGTGCACAGGCATGGATGCAGAGGTAAAGATGACACAGGTTTACGCGAATATTTCTGATTCACACTCAGGATAGCAGGGCCCCAATGGCCATTCCTTTCTCCCCCATGGAACTTCTGTTCTAAAGGACATCAGGAACTTTGGAAATCCTGGTTCCAGGAGCACCAGGTACACATAACTCGGTCACCTGTTTTATTTCCTTTTGTGTTCAGGGACCGGGCGTCCACTGGACCCACCTGGGTCCGAGGACAAACCTCGGAGCAGATCGGCATCAGAGGAGCTGCTGCCTCTCCAGCCCTCCCGTCTGTCCCCAAACAGGGACACTTCACAAAACAGGGCACCTAGCCCCTTGAGGGTTGCTTCACGCATGCGCGCGCGCGCGCGCACACACACACACACACACACACACACACACACACACACACGAGGGGCCGCAGCATCACATGTGGGCAGGGACAGGGCAGGGTCAGGGAGGTAGCCCTCCCCACAGCTGCTGGGAGTGAGGCTCTGCGGGGTCTGACGTCACTGAGCAAAGACTGGCGCACACACACACACACACACACCCCACTGCTGTTGGGCTGTGCCCGCGCGGCACCTTGCCCTCAGGTTTCTCAGGCCGTCTTCCCGGGGCAGGCTGCAGGGCTGACTTGCCAGATTTGGATGGGAGTCTGGACTAGGGCCCTTCCTTCCGCTCCCGAGCCGCCACGGTGCACCAGGCAGGGAAGAGGCAAGCAGCCTTGCAGGGGACTGAGCATGGAGCAGACCCACGGGGCTGAGCCCCAGGGCCCAGGCACACGCTCGTTCATCCACACGTGATGGACAGCCGTGTCCCAGCCACCCTGGCAGCGTGATGCTGCTGAGGCTCTATGGGAGGGTACGGCCCCTGGGCAGCTGATGCAGCGAGAGGGGTGACCCTGGTGTGGGCTGGATGCAGACAAGCCCCTGCCATCAGATGCAGGGATCCCTGCAGTGGGGGGCCCTTCCAGCTCACCAGTCCTGTGGTGGGGATGCAGGCACCCATTACCTGACGCCCAGTGCTAGGGAGGTGCCAGCACCCCTCCGGCGGCTGTCTGATGCTGAGCCTGCTCCCAGATCACATGACCATCCAGTGCCCTCAGGGGGTAGCGTATCCCCCTCCTGTCTTGTCTCCTCCAAGTGGCTTCTCAGGACCATGGACAGGAAGACCCCCTCAGGGCCCTCTAGAACCCATAAAGCGGGAGGGATCTAGGGCGGGGGTCCCTGGAAATCTCTGGGAGTGCGCCGTGCCCCAAATAGGAGTCCCACAGCACTGTGACGTGTTTCTGCAGCAGGTGTGGGCAGACAAGGCCACCAGGGGCAGGCCTGTGAAATGTGCAGACACCCAGGCACAGTGCCCGTGAAAGCCCAGGAGCTCTGCCTCTGCCCTGCCAGCCGGCTGGAAAGCAGCGTCACACTGACTACCAGCAGGTGGGGCATGTGGGCAGGCGGCTCGGCGGACACAGAGGTCCCTCGTGGGCACTGAGTCCTTCTCTATGACAATCCCTGGTCAAGTGTGCTCACATCCGGACTCCTGCCCCCAGACCCCAGCCATAGCTGGTTTCCACATGAATTTCAGCTGCAGGCGGCCACACTGTCCAGCCATGTCCAGTGCAGTCCCTTCCCGAGGAGACCAGCGCTGCGCCAGTGGCTGCAGAGAAGCTGCCAGGCTGGGGACGCCCCCCACATCGTGCTTGGCAGCCTGACTTTGCTGCTTCAGCCGGGAGAAAAGAGCCAGCAGGGAAATGGTTAATACTGGTGGGAGGAGGCGCCAGCAGGGCAGGCAAGCTGAGCCTGGGGAGGGGCCTGGAGCCTATAAAACCCAGGGAGGGGAGGGAGGCTGCAGACCCGCTGGACTCACCAAGAGCGGCCCAGGCCCATCGCACCCAGGAGACCTGCCAGTCCAGCCCCCTGCCGGGTAGCCACACACACCTGTTGCCTGGCTTGGGCACAGGTATAAGGGCCATGAGCCCAGGCTGCCAGGGACCAGCACCCTGTGGCCATGAGGCTCGAGCAGGTAAGAGGGGGCTTGGGGCTGAGTGGGGGTCCTGGGGAGATAGCGCAGGCAGGTGGAATGGAGGCAGGACCTCTTCCCTCCTCCTCCCCCCACCACCGCGAGGAGACACCTGCTCTGAGAGTCTTCAGCGACTGCTCATGAGGGCCAGTGCAGCCGAGACAGTGCCGGGCAGTCCCCAAGAGGTCTGCCCACAACCACATAGCCCAACAGAGGGGCGTGCCCCGTGTGGACAGCCCTTTACAGCAGATCAGACCACAGGGGCCAGGTGGTCTCCCCAGCCTGGACAGCCCTGGGAATGGACTCATGTCCGGCCCATCTGGAACTGGATCTTGCATCAGAAGTGAACTTCATCAGGGCCCCATCCTTTTGTTAGGCAGGGTGGTGCTGGTGCCCCAGAGCCCATTTGTGCCCCCCCCCCCCACTCATGCGGTGATCACAGGTGCAAGGGCAGACATGGCCCGAGGGCCTATTCCCAGCCAGCCTTGCAGTCCAGCCCTTTCCCACAAGGAGCTTTGGGGTGGTGGCTGGGTAGCCACAGGCCAGCAGCCGGAACCTGCTGGGCTCCGTGGGAGAGAGGAGGCTTTCTGCTCTGGGAATTGACACCCTGGGAGACCCACAGGGCCTTTCTATCTGCCCGTGAGGTCGCGCCGAGTCGGACTCCACTCGAGGATGGTGAGGAGTCCTTCCTAAAGTGCTGACCTGTCAGGGGCAGATAGCCTGTGCACAGCCCCACGGGAGTCTGAACACAGGGCTCAGAGCCTGGAGCTTATGCCAGGGGTCACCAGTGGGCATTGGTCAGTGATGCCAACCAGGGTTTGCTCCTTTCTCTCCGGCAAGTCCGGCAGTACTGGGCGAGAAGGGAGCACTGTCCTCGTCCTCTCTCCAGCCTGCTGGGTCTTGGGGTGTGCAGTGCTGTTTGGGGGCTCAGTCAGCAAGCACCCCAGTCTGGCCACCAAGAGTGTCCACAGACACCACCAGTGTCCCCTGGGGATAGAACATTCTGGGGGCACAGCAAAACCCATAGCCCGCTGGGGACACACAGCCTACTTCCTGTGCCCCCCCACCCCCTACCCAACACGTAAACATCTGGAAGTTTCCTCTGCCCGACTTCTTCTGCACCACGCAGGGCCAGGGCTCAGGGGTGGCTGCTGGGTCCTTGGGTGAGCCATTCCACCTGGCCGGGCGCTCGGTCCTGCCCCTGCCCTGATCCATCTGTCAGCATGCTGGGTAGCAGAGCAGGCCAGGGCTCCCAGCAGGAGGCTTCCCTGAGGCAGGACCTCTCCATACCCCACTTCCAGAAGCCAGGTTTTCCCCGCCCGCCTTGTCTCTCTTTCCCACAGCTGCCCGGTCGCAGTTTCCTCTCCAGACAGCCAGTACTTTTCCTCTGGCTCTCACACACCCCACAAGACACCACTCCTCTGCTAGGTGGTTTCCAGAAATGTTCGCTCAAGTGTGGGCAGGCCCTCCGAGGCCTGGGAGAGCAGGGTCTTCCCTGCACACGGGCTTCTCCTCCCATTTAGGAACCCGTCTCTGAGAGCCTCCCGCTCCCGAGGGGATGCTCACGAAGCAGTATGCACGGTGCTCAAGCCCCTGTGCTTGCTCTGCAGGCCCCGGACGGCGAGGCAGCCCCGGAGGGCAGCAAGAAGGGGCCAGTGGAGAGCCCTGAGGAGCCCCCAGCCGGCCATCAGCGGGAGCCCCTTGCTTACAGCCCACTGCTGCCTGAGACTAACAGTCACTGTAGCACCGCCTGCTGCTTACTGGGGCGCACTCTCGTCCCGCTGCCCGGAATGCCTGCTGCAAGCCCTCTCCTTGCCAAGATGGGTGAGAGCAGTGCGCCTTCCCACCAAGCCTGAGCGTGCCTGGCAGAGGTGTGGTCATGGAGGGCTACTCGGGCACAGCACCGTCCATCACCCCCAATGGCACGCTGGTGGGGGCGGGCCCAGCGGCCAACCACACGGACGGCCTCCAGGAGCACCAGCAGTACGTGGTGGGCCTCTTCCTGTCCTGCCTGTACACCGTCTTCCTCTTCCCCATTGGCTTTGTGGGCAACATCCTGATCCTGGTGGTCAACCTCAGCTACCGCGAGAAGATGACCATCCCCGACCTGTACTTCATCAACCTGGCGGCCGCCGACCTCATCCTGGTAGCCGACTCCCTCATCGAGGTCTTCAACCTGGACGAGCACTACTACGACATCAGCGTGCTCTGCACCTTCATGTCGCTCTTCCTGCAGATCAACATGTACAGCAGCATCTTCTTCCTCACCTGGATGAGCTTCGACCGCTACGTGGCGCTGGCGCGGGCCATGCGCGCCAGCCTCTTCCGCACCAAGCAGCACGCCCGCCTCAGCTGCGGCCTCATCTGGCTGGCCTCGGCCTCGGCCACGCTGGTGCCCTTCACGGCCGTGCACCTGCAGCACTCCAGGGACGCTTGCTTCTGCTTCGCCGACGTGCGCGAGGTCCAGTGGCTGGAGGTCATCCTAGGCTTCATCCTGCCTCTGGCCGTCATCGGCCTGTGCTACTCGCTCATCGCGCGTGTGCTGCTAGGCGAGCACCGGCACCGCGGCCTGCGGCCCCGGCGGCAGAAGGCGCTGCGCATGATCCTGGCTGTGGTGCTGGTCTTCTTTGTCTGCTGGCTGCCAGAGAACGTCTTCATCAGCGTGCACCTGCTGCAGCGCCCACGGCCCGGGGCGTCCTACTGCAAGCAGGCCTTCCGCCACGCCTACCCGCTCACCGGCCACATCGTCAACCTGGCGGCCTTCTCCAACAGCTGCCTGAACCCCCTCATCTACAGCTTTCTCGGGGAGACCTTCCGGGACAAGCTGCGGCTGTACGTCGAGCAGAAGACCCGCACGCTGGCGCTGCACCGCTTCTGCCACGCTGCGCTCAAGGCTGTGCTGCCCGACAGCGCCGAGCCATCCGACGCCAAGCTCAGCAGCGCCGTGTGAGGCCGGCTCTGCATGTCTGCCTGGTGAGAGGGCCCACCGAGGGCGTCCGCACAAGGGGCGCCCCTCAGTGGTGCATGCAGTGCTGGCTGGCCAGGGCACCAGGAGGGGCCTCTAAGGGGGACCCACCAGGACCTGCCACCCCAGGGGTGCCCCGGTTTGCGTGCACGCTGACGAGTTTAGAGACAATTAAAGTGTAGGGAGCAACCAGCTTGCACGCTCTGTTCTCTGTCCCTCCCACCGCCCCGCCTGAGTCCTATGCCTGGCTGTGTCAGTGACATGCGCATGGCCCATCCTCTCTCCTGCCCTGCCGAGGCTGAGCAAGGTCAGGGGGCAGCGGAGGGAGCGTGGTGTGGGGAGTGGGACCATGTCGGAAGGAACATGGAATGTGGGGAGCGGGTGCTGCAGGGTCAGAGCTGGCCCCCCCGGCAGCAGAGACCTTGGTGTAACCAGGCACAGCTCCTGCCGGAGTAAAACCCAGGGAGCGAGGCTGCTCCCTCCCCAGCCCTCGCTACCCCCCAGCAGTGGGCCTAGGTCACAGGCTGGCCCCTCCTCGGCCTGTGGCAACCCCAGCGGTGGCCCCAGCACCAGAGCCTGGCCTTCCCCAGGAGAGCCTGGTGTTCTGCCTCCCCAAGGGCGCTGGCTGGCCCCCGTCTACCAAGCTGCTCCACGTGCCACCCCCACCCCACCCCACTTTCCAGAAGTTTCCGGTGGGAGACCTGGCAGCGGTCTCTGATTGAGGAGGATGCTGGGATAGTCGTGCTTCTTTCTGGGGAAGACAGAGTTCCTGTCATCAAATCTGAAGGGAGAGGCGCCGTGGGCCCTGCACAGCCTGCAAACAAGCTGCGGGGGGTGGGGAGGGGTGGTAGAGGGGGGTGTGTGCGCTGTTCTGACACCCCCCATTTCTGAGGCTGATGGGACGAGGCTGGGACCCTGGAAGCCACAGGAGCTGCCCACCTGCCAGGGAGCTGCGAGCTTCCTCCTGGCAAACACATTCATGCCTGAACCTAGCCAAGACCCGCTTTCTAAGCAAACAGCCCAGTCCACCCTGAGTATGCGGACAGATTCCCACAAGCCCATTCCCATGGGGACTGACGTGTGACAGGGAGGTTACAGGTGGCCACAGTGGTCAGGGGTGTCCACAGGGTCGTCCAGGTGGCTCTGTCCAGAGGGCGTGGCACCCCCACTTACCCCACTAGGTTCATCGACACAGTGGCAGCTCTGGGCAGGGCCTCCTCGAATCCCCTCACCCCCCAGCAGGTGCCTAAACCACACATGCCGGTGCAAGGGCCCCCCATCAGTCAGGATAGACCCCACTTGCGTACGTGTACACACACACACACACACACACACG